GACTTCGGCGGCCATGGCGGCTCTCCACTTCTCAGCATCGGGCCCGCTGAGGGCGTGGCGAACGGTGGTGGGCTCGACCAGCTGCTGGTTACCCCGAACAGCGACAGCAAGGCCAAGAATGCGAAGACCCGTGAGGTTGGATTCGGCTGTGTTGGTAACTTCAACCACGTCGTCGTCGTCGCCAGGGATGTCGCGAAAGGTGTCGCGGGAAGAGTCGCGAGTTGGATCTTCGTTCATGGGTGAGTGCATTTCTGCACTTGCGTAATCGTGTTGTGCCTGTACTGCTTCGTGTGGAGTGGTGTATATTGGAAAATAGGTGGGTGTGCCGAGCTGCTCCGTAACGGGGACGAACGGTGCCTCATCTGCTACTGCCTCGTCTGGCTGTTCTCCTGCCACGTCAACGTCGTCCTCGTCATTGGCGTAGCTGTGCTGTCCCTGAAAGATGTTGTCTAGTGCGTTTTGTGCAGTGCGGTGCTGGCGGTACAGTGGCAGAGTCAGTCTTTTGTAGAAGATGCAGTCACGTGAACGCGTGAGCTGGTGGGTGGCGAAGTCCAGGATCGTCCAGGCGTGGTATTCGGATTCGATTCCGAGGGTGAATGCCCCAGCGAGCGCGGTCCTCAAATTTTCCGGTTCGGGCAGTATGGGGGCGGTACTGTACCATACACCCGAAGACTCGCAGCATGCGTGTGTCAGGGTGTTTTCCGGTCCACTCCTTGAAGGGTGAGCTGTTGTTGGGCAGTGCCTTCGAGGAGAGCATGTTGTGCAGCCGAACTGCATGCGCCATTGCGAAGGGCCAATATTTGGTTGGCACAGCTGACTGCTTCATGAGAGCTCGCATTTTCGTCGCGAGGCTCCTGTTGGTTCGCTCGGCCAATCCCTGCTGCTCGTGGGCGTAAGGCAGAGAGATCATCATCTTGATCCCCTTTTGTTTGCAGATAGTTTTGAAGTCGTCCGACTGATACTCCAAGGCTCCGTCTGTCTGAAATGCCTTCAGTTTGTATCCGTCGCTTTGGGTCTCCGCCATGCTGAGCCAGACCTCGAAGCACTGGTAGGCAAGGTAGCGATCACTGACGTTCACGGCCCAGACGAAGCGTGTGCCAGCGTCGATGAAGGCAAGGGTGTACTGCTCCCCTCCAACTCCCTTTGCCGTGAGCACCAGGAAATCGCTGTAGACCTTCTCCAGCGGTTTGTAACATTCGGCTCCAGGAATCTTTTCGGCGAAGGTCGTGTGGCGGAGCGCGGCTGCCGGACAGACGGTGCAATTGGGTAAGTCGGTTCTTGGTTTTAGTAGCTTTCCATAGTGCAGCAACAGTGCGTCTGCCGCAAAGACATTTGCGTTGATGCAGTTGTTGAGTACTTCGATTGATGGGTGTCCCATGCGTTGGTGCCAGATGTCTCCGTCGGCCCGATATCCCTTAGTGCGTGCGTACATCTCCTTTTCTCGTGCCAATATCACCTCTGTTGTTTCTTGCCTGGTTTCATCCGCAGGTTCGTCAGGCACGGTGACTTGTACTGCCGCTGCTTGGATTGTCGCGCCGTGATATGTTCCGCTGGTGTCGCCGATGGTGATGGTCTCAATCGTTACTGGCAGCTCTAGTGGCCCTTCAGGAGGCGGGGGCAAGGTTCGTGCGCGACGATCTTCGGGTTGTGTGATTTCTCCCTCTTCGAAGTTGGTATCGCCGATCGCCACTCCCCTTGTCTCGAGGCGGAGGTAATCCCTGCCGTCCGTCGTGATGGGAATCAGATGAGGTCCGTACTCCGTTAGTGATTCTTCCTCCTCTGCTTCTGGTGCCTCTTCAGTAATTTCCGGTTCTTCTGCTGCTTCTGCTTCCTCTGCTGCAGGTTCTTCGGCGACGTTTCTCCATCCAGTTTTAGCTGCGATGGCTTCTCCCAGCGCGGTGTTCTCCGTGACCCAACGAACGTCCACAGCATCCCAACCCTCGGTGGTGTTCCTACCGGTAGGTTATTGAACGGGAGGCCAGAGGGCCTGCGTGCCCTCTGTGCCTATTGGTTTAGTTGTTGCAACTGCCGTTTCTGACGTAATTTCCTCTCCTTCTTCCACTGCTTGCGGCCCTGTGTCTGCAGGGTTTGTGGTTGAGGCGACATGCACGGCAAGGGCGCGGAAGGTGCCGTCGAGACCTGGTTGCTGATAGTCGGTTTCTTCTGGGTGGCTCCACCTTGGTGGCGACGGGTGGCCCGGTGGATCAAGGACGAGGATGTGCTTGTTGTCGCCAGAGGTTTTGGGTGACTCGAAGTCGAGCACAAACACTCCTTCCACGCTTGTTGCCTTCCCGATGAAGATTCCGTTGTATATTAAGCGCATTTCGTCTTCGGTTGTTTGCAGGCCGACTCCGCACTTCATCAGCTGGTGGAGGGACAAGAGATTGTAGCGGAGTTCCGGTACGATGAGGACATCGCTTATGTGGATGCAGTAACCGGTGTCGTGTGACTCCAGTTGGACATGTCCACGGCTTTTGGTGTAGATGGTCTGGCTGTTGGCAACGGTGATCTCCACCTCGTTGAAGAGTCGTTCCCTGTTGAGGATGAAGACGTCCGACGACACCATGTGTTGGCTACAGCAACTGTCCAGGTACCACGTGTTGACTTCTTTCTTCGCCTTGGCGAGGTTGGCGAGTTTCGAGGTGATATGATGCTCCATGTCGTGATTGTTCTCGTAATCATAATAACACCCTTCTTCATCGTATGCTATGCGCTCAGGTGGCGATTCTTGGATCCACTGCGGCATTTCCCAGTCGTACTCCATCTGTCCGACTGTCAGCTCGTCGTACATCAGATCGTTTTCTTCCTCGTCTTCAACGGATCCTTCGGGTCGTTCCTGGGGCGGGTCTGCGAACATGTCTTCCCAGCTGCAGAAGAAGCGGTAGTGTCGGTTTGTGCGAGGTGGTCCGTGACGCACCATGCAGGTCAGGACCTTGCATTGCCTTTGTCGTTTGTGTTCGCAGAGACGCGTGCCGGAGCTTGGGACGTGCTGGCGACGGCTGGTGGTGACACTGTCTGGTTGCATACCGGAGCTCCTCCTTGCTGGTTAGTGACCCCCTTTTGGTTGTTGTTGTTGCCGTTCAGTTTCCAGCAGTCTTGGATTGTATGCCCATTCTTCTTGCAGTATTTGCAGAAGAGTCTTTTCTTGTCTGGTGGCGCTTGTGCGTAAAAGGCAATCTTCTCCTTCTTGTTGCCCCTTTCGTTGTACAGGTCGATCTCCTTTTGTTCGGAAAGGAGCGTGGAGCAGAGGGCCGTTTCACTGAGGGTCCCTTGAGTACGAAGGAGCGACTTGCACTGGCGCCATTCCGGGCTCAATCCAGCGAGAATGATTGTGACGAACATGTCGTCAGGGAAGTTGCCGCCGCTTTTCCTGAACTGATCTCTCAGGTTCCTGCAGCGGTTGATGCATGGTCCGGCCTTTTCGCCGGGAAACATCTTGACATTGTTCAGCTGGTTGAGCAGACGACTAAGTGTCACTGAGTCTGTTGCCATGTGGCAGGTGCACAAAGTGTTCCCAGGACTGTTGCGCGGGCGCCCACTCGTTCTTGAAGGGGCGAATGCTCAGCTGTTCTTCGGGCGAGAGATTCCGAATCAAGACGGTGAAGGCTAGGAGAGATTCGTTGTAGTACTGTGTCTTCTCCTGAGGTGAGCCGCTAGTTGGAAAAGCGTACGAACAGTCGTAGTACATCCAGATATGAGCGCCCTGAGCTAGTAGCTCGAATTCGAAGCTCCAGGTGTAGAAGTCTTGCCCATCGAAGGGCTTGGTTGTCCTGAGCTTCGATGTTGAGAGGAACTTGCTCTGCATTGAAGTCATTGCCTCGTAATGTGTTTGTTGTGCTTGAGCAGATCCTTGAGCTCCGCGGTTATCGAAGGTGAAGGATCGTTCAGATCCAGCTCCTTGAGGATCGGGAGGTCTTCGGGCGTAGCTTGAGCCGTCGATGCTCATCGGCTGGTGGCTTTCCAGTGCGCTGATGCGGGAAATCAGCTGCTCGAGGAGCGCTGTGTCCACAGTCGTCGTAGTAGAGGCGACATTGGTGGAGGGTTGCACTGGATTTTCTCCAGCCTCTCCGCATTCTGCGCCTGGCATGCTGATGCCCTTGATGTCGTTGTTCTTGATGTTGATATTAAGTTAAAAAGAAGCTTGTTGGAAGCCCCTTTAGCAGTTCCTGTCATCCAAACTAGCTCTCATACCATGTCAGAGTTAAGGACCTTTGGATAGGATAGGAATGCCTTGAAAGAGTTTGGTAGCGGAAGTCTTGGTTTAGGAACTCAGATTACAGTGGATGTAGATGACCAAGTTGATTAAAACAAAGATCACACACATAATAAATAGTTCCTAGCTAGCCATGTACTCTGAGGGGTACATTCGCTTATTCTAACTGCTTTACAAACATTTCTACAGTGACTCTGACTGTTGCACTACTTTCTTGTTACCGAGTCGCTGCATGTAACCTGTACATACGGTTACGCCTGTTGCCATTCCTCGATGGTGAGTCAAACGCCGGTCCAGATGGTCAACAGTCGCGACAGTTGACTTTGCGACTGTTGACCTTCCTGCCTTTGATATAGGCTGATCCGACACTGTTGTTAGCGCTGCTTCGATAGGGACTGGTGCGATACTGCTGCACCTACGGGAATGCCAAGTGTAATTCCCTTTATACTCCAAGTTGTCCAACTGAATTTCAAAACAGCATTGTCACAAGGCTGTAACAACAATGTAAGGCAAGTGGGCTGGAGCTCCAGCAATTGCAATCGACCTCGGATCGATTTAGGAAAGCCACGAGCTGCGCAATCAGCTCAATAAGCTAGTATCATCCAAGTACAGAGAGGGAATACCACGTTTTATGCACCAGAATCCAAAAACGCATACGGTACCTACCACCAGGCTTTTCATTCATACTACAACCACATCCAGACGTGAAGTCAGGGCAATGAGGATATAAGCACACACATTTCCTGATTCTAACCCTGCTGATCCATGTTTTCCACAAGCATGAGGTTCAAGGGTTCAGCAAAGGGACATCACAAGAAGACGTACAAACATTCCAGCCACTCATCGCAACAAACACTCCCTTATCACACTTGCCGCCTGAACAGCCCAAGCCACTGGAGGAACTTTCTTGAGCACATGCATAGCAAGGCTCGTGTGCAAACTCGACCTGTACAGTGACCTCCTCCCCAGGCAACAACGAGAGGTAATTCTCAGAGAACACTGCTGGAAGCACCCTCTTGCCATCCACCCCTCGGCGCACATTGAAACTGACAAAGAACGCCACACCTCCAGCGCTCTCGTCCCCATTCACCCATGCAGCAGGGTCATTCCGAGGCCCAGTAAGCCCCATAGCCGCTCCTCCTTCTCCTTGCCGTTTTGCGCTCTGCCTTCCACCCAAAGCACCTCCCTTCACAGGATTGCTCACCAGCAGGTAAGCCCTCCACCAGGTAGACCTCCCTCCATGGGGCTCACTGAGAGGCAGATGCCTCCCTTCCTCTCCTGAAGAAGAGGCGGAGGACACGCGGAGGAGGGAGAGGGAGAGATGCAGCTTTTGCTGGCGGAACGGTCCTCCCAGGGCTCGAAAGTCCCCCAGGTAGGCGTAGGGAGGCAGGTGGGCGAAGGGGGCGGACGAAGTGGAGTGGGTGGAGAAAACGGAGGGAGAAGAGGGGTTTGAGAGAGAAGCGGGGGGGAGGGGGTTGGTGGTGCTTGCATTGGACATTTGCGCTGATGGTGGTGATGCTTCTGATGGTGCTGCTGGTGCTGCTGGTGCTGATGGTTCTGATGATGCTTCTGATGTTGATGGTGCTGCTGGTGGTGACGGTGGTGATGGTGGTGATGGTGGTGATGGTTCTGCTGGTGCAGCTGGTGGCGATGCCAATGATGAGAGGGTGGTGCAGGGTGCATCTAGAGGGAGCGCAGTGAGCCAGTAGAGGTTGCGTGACACTGTGGTGGCTTCACACCAGCCTGGGGGAGCACATGGCGCTGCTGGGAGGTGCGGTGAGGAGAGGGAGTGGTATGCGGAGGAGGGGGGCTGTGCAGAGGGGTGGGAAGGGTGCGGGCAGTGGAGCAGGCGGAGGAGCAGGAAGACAGTGGGGGGTGGGCTGGAAGGGGACACTGGGAGGCGGGGGAGATGCACCTGGGGGATGGAGTTGGGGGAGGGACGGGGAGGAAAGGCACGGTATGGGCAGGGGGAATTTCGTGGAAAAGGTTGGGAGGGTTCAGAAAGGTGTTGGATAAAAGATGAGAGATGAAAGTTGAAAGAAGGAAGTCCAATGTGGATGGAGAAAGTCTCGGGGCTGGGAGGGTTGTTGGCATGGATGGGATGGGAGTGAGTGAGACTCATCCATGCCAGCACGACCGCATGACCACACGACCGCATGCTCGCATGGGCATAAGCTTTGGCACCAACACATTCGTATGTGCCTGCAAGTGTGATTCCCTGGATCCAACGGTCGTTCCCCCACCTGATGCCCTCACCTGACCTGTGCTTCTTTCACGTGAACCTGTGCCCTGCTCACCTGGAGCTGAGTCCCTGTGCAGGAGAATGGTGGGCAGGTGAGTGAGTAGGGGGCAGGTGGGGGAGTGGGAGAGGCTGCGAGGGAGGAGGAGGCGGCGTGCCACAGGCAGTGACCGCTGGGAAGGTGGATGGAAGCTTCTACTGAGAGGGAGGAGAGAGCACGGGCTGTGGTGTTGACCACCTGATGGTCGCAGATGGGGAGAGGGGGGACGGGGGGAGGAGAGGGAGATGATCAGAATGGAGTGACAGATGATAGATCATGGGCTGTGGTGTTCATCACCTGATGGTCGCAGATGGGGAGAGGGGGGACGGGGGGAGGAGAGGGAGATGATCAGAATGGAGTGACAGATGATAGATCATGGGCTGTGGTGTTCATCACCTGATGGTCGCAGATGGGGAGAGGGGGGACGGGGGGAGGAGAGGGAGATGATCAGAATGGAGTGACAGATGATAGATCATGGGCTGTGGTGTTCATCACCTGATGGTCGCAGATGGGGAGAGGGGGGACGGGGGGAGGAGAGGGAGATGGTGAGAAGGGTGAGGGTAGTGTGCGTGCAGTGAACAATGGGAGTGACAGATGATAGATCATGGGCTGTGGCGCTCAGCTCACCACCTGATGGGCGCAGACAGGGGGAGTTGGAGGAGGGACGGAGGAGAGAGAGATGACAGGGAAGGTAGTGTTGCTGCAGGGAAGGGAGCTGCCCTCGCAGCCCACGCCAATGGGCGACTTCCAGTCTGCCTTTGTTGAAGAGAATTCTCAAAAGCGAGCTCAACATGTCTGCCTTTGTAACAAGGGCTGCGAGTGCAGCTGTAACACATGGCACACAATCGGCACACACCTGCACTCGCCACACGCCCCGTGCACCCACACACACACCTGCACTTTCCCCGAGTGTAAATTCAGTTGCACGTGCACGGGCTCCAGGGCACAGCGCACGCCGTACAGCCCGCCCGTGGGGGCCAGCAGGTGGTCGTACAGCTGCCCTCGCAGGCCCCCCCAGTGGGTGAATTTCAGTCTGCCTCTGTATCTGTAGCATCTCCCCACGCACCTGCACTTGGCCCGTGTGCAGGTCCAGCTGCACGTGCACGGGCTCCAAGGCACAGTGCACGCCAAAAAAGCACTCATAGATCTGCTTACCACAGAGACACACACACACAATCCCCACGCACCTGCACTTGGCCCGTGTGCAGGTCTAGCTGCACATGCACGGGTTCAAGCGCACAGCGCACGCCGAACAGCCCGCCAGTGGCGGCCAGCAGGTGGTCGTACAGCTGCCCTCGCAGCCCCCCCCAGGGGTTCTGCCCCTTCCACAGCAGCACCCCCGTGTACCGCTCCCACATGCGCGCACTCCATGCCTCAAAGAGCGACCGGTACTGCAGGTAGTTGGCTATCTGGGCCTGGCGGGATGGAAATGTGAGGAGGAGTGTCGAAACGTGCCAAACATTTGACAGCATTATTCAGGCGCCTCAAAAGCGCGGGACATGAGACTGAGGCACCTCAGTAGTTGGGAAGGATTTTTGAGCTGTGGCGAACATTTGACAGCGTCACTCCCCTGTATGGCCACATGCCATATACCATACGCCACATGGCGGAGGCGAGGGATGGGCAATGCATGCGTGCAAGTCAATCAGATCGGATGCACCAATCCGGGCATGTCTAGCAGTGCAGCACAAGAGAGTGCCGCATGTCACATAGGGGTTGCTGTGCATTTCGGTGTGACTGCCTATAACAGACAAGTGGTGAGTTACAGTGGCGGCTGTTGTGCAAAGCAGTTTTCCATGCCCCGGACCGGACAAGATGGCTTGTCTGTGCTGTGGCAGGAACGGACTCGAGGCAAGCCACAGTTTGCTTTGCATGTGGGAGCACTGACCACCCACGGCTCACTCACCTTCTGACAGAAGTCATCGAGCCCATTCACGGGGCCATATGTGAGGATCTGGTTCTTCACTCGCACCGACCCCCGCTTCCACGCGCCCCTGCATGCTGCTGCCTCCTGCCTCCTTGCTTCCTCTCCTTCTCCCCCCTGCTTCAATCCAGTCACTGCTGCTTGCTGCTGCCCGGCTGCTTGCCGTCTCGCCCCTCCTCTACCCACCTCGTGCCGTCTCGCCCCTCCTCTACCCACCTCGTGCCTTCCTTCTGTCCCCGCTCCCACCATGCCATACGGTATGTATGTGTGCACCTTCCACCCCTCACTCTCCTCCTCCACACACTCCCCTCCACACTCCTCCCACGCCCTCCCAAACACCGGCGGGCTCCAATCACTCTCGGGAAAAAACCCGCGCAGACTTTCCGCCTCGGGCACCCCAACGGACCCAATCTCGGGGTTGAACGCGTACGGGTAGTAATCCGGGCAGAAGAAATCTTCGGGGTTCTGAATGCCGTAGGGCCCGTCCGTCCAGCCGCCCTGGCTGTCGGCAAAGCCCCCCCATAGGGAGCCCTCTATGTATGCCCTTGTGCCGTCCAGCAGTAGTGAAGGGTCCGGATCTGATTCGGCTGGGGAAGGAGGGGCGGAGGCTGGGAGAAGGGGAGTCAAAGGAGGTGCGGAGGCGGGGAGAAGGGGAGTAAAAGGAGGTGCGGAGGCGGGGAGAAGGGGAATAAAAGCACCAAGCACACCATCCCACACCATCCCACACCATCCCACACCACCCCACACCATCCCACACCATTCCACACCATCCCACACCATCCCACACCATCCCACACCATCCCACACCATCCCACACCATCCCACACCATCCCACACCATCCCACACCATCCCACACCACCCCACACCATCCCACACCACCCCACACCATCCCACACCATCCCACACCACCCCACACCATCCCACACCATCCCACACCATCCCACACCACCCCACACCATCCCACACCATCCCACACCATCCCACACCACCCCACACCATCCCACACCATCCCACACCATCCCACACCATCCCACACCATCCCACACCACCCCACACCATCCCACACCATCCCACACCATCCCACACCACCCCACACCATCCCACACCACCCCACACCATCCCACACCATCCCACACCATCCCACACCATCCCACACCATCCCACACCACCCCACACCATCCCACACCATCCCACACCATCCCACACCACCCCACACCATCCCACACCACCCCACACCATCCCACACCATCCCACCATCCACCATCCCACACCATCCCACACCATCCCACACCATCCCACACCATCCCACACCATCCCACACCACCCCACACCATCCCACACCACCCCACACCATCCCACACCATCCCACACCATCCCACACCATCCCACACCATCCCACACCACCCCACACCATCCCACACCATCCCACACCATCCCACACCATCCCACACCATCCCACACCATCCCACACCATCCCACATCATCCCACACCATCCCACACCACCCCACACCATCCCACATCATCCCACACCATCCCACACCATTGCACACCATCCCACGTACCATCATACAGGCGCAGCATGCTCTTAAGCGAGTCATTGAGGTCAGCAGCGGGCACGGTCTCGTTGCCGCCCACCCAGAGCGCCAGGCTGGCATGGTTGCGCAGCATGCGGACGCTGTCTTGTGCACAGGCGAGGAAGAGGCAGTGGTCCAGAGGCCATGAGGGGTCTGACGGGGGCAGGCCTCGCCCGTTGCAGTCGCCTGTTATCCAAAACTCCTGCCACACCTGTGAGCGGGGGGGGAACGGACCAATTGCTTTGTGAGGAGTGGGAATAGGAGGTGTGTAGGAGGTGTGTAATTACGCAGGGCAGCAAGAAGACGCTGTCTTGCGCACAGGAGAGGAAGAGGCGATGGTCGAGCCGCCATGACGGGTCAGATGGGGGCAGGCCGCGTGCAGTCGCCCGTTATCCAAAACTCCTGCCACACATGTGTGGGAACAGGGGAGTAGGTGGCAAAGGTGGGGGGAGCAGGGGAATAGGTGGCTCCAGTTTCAGTCAGGTTTTGAGTTGGTCAACGCACTAAAAACATGCCTGTGACCCAAAGCTCCTTCCACTCCTGTGTGGGAAGGAACAGGTGAGTAGCTGGTGACACCAGTTTCAATCATGTTTTTGAGTTGACTCACAACACTCATACCTCCTGCCACACCTGCTACACCGCACTCCAAACCCCAATCCTAGCCAAGCAACACCCCACTCTAACCCCTACCTACCCTCCCCTCCAACCCTCACCCCATTCCAAACCCACCCGACTACAAGCCACGCTGCACCCCTCACCAAACCACATCCCACCCCCACCCATCACCAGGGTCCTTAGCAGTTCGCAGGCATCGTGAAACGCAAGGCGTTCCATGAGAGCCCCCGCCACTCCAAACCCCACCCCAATTCCAATCCCCATCACACTTCAAGCCCCGCCCCACCCCTTACCAGTATTCCAAGGCGGTCGCAAGCGTCATAAAACTCAGGCCGCTCCATGAGAGCCCCCGCCAACCCACTCATCCCACTCCCACACCCACCCCGCTCCAAGCCTCCACCTCTCACCAGTAGTCCAAGTTTGTCGCAGGCGTCGTAAAACTCAGGCCGTTCCATGAGCGCCCCCGCCCACACGCGAATCATGTTCACCCGGGCACACGCGAAAAGTTTCATCTCTGCCCAGTAGCGCTCCGCTGAGAGGCGCAGCATCGCGTCCGAAACGATCCAATTGGTCCCGCGTATGAAGAGCGGGCAGCCGTTGATGAAAAAAACCCTGGTACAAGATAAGAGCAGATACAGTGGATGAGTAGATGGGGAAACATAAGGTGCGGGCAGTGGTTGATGAAAAAGTACTGGTACAAGGCGAGATCCTATTCAGGGCATGTGGATAAGAATGGGGGGGAATGAACGAGATGTGAGATGCAGGAACAATGCAAGAACGACGGATGCAGAACGTGGAAAGGGAGAGGAAAGGGCGGGGAAGGGGGGTTGGGAGAGGGGAGAGGTGCGGGAGAAAAAGGCACGAGAATAACGCAAGATTGAATGAGAGCAGAAAACACCGAAATGAGGGGAGAAGGGAACAAGCGCGTGGAAGATAAAGACGCAACTCCACCTACCTGCCGCCAGTGCCCTCATCCACGTAGCTGTCAATCTGTCGGAACCCAAATTTGCTGCTCCACACGTCACTCTGCACCCACCTCCCCTCCCCTTGCATCCCCCTTTCCCCCTGCCCCACATCCTCATCCGCGCCATACAAGGCCGAGCGTACAAGACTTTTCGCCTGCCCGAGGCTCTGAGTCAGCGTGTGGGAAAGAAACCGGCTCCAAGAAGCAGAGGCAGGTGCGGAGAGAGGTGCAGAGGAGGATGAAGATGAGGAGGCAGGTGCAGTGGGGTGTGAAGAGGAGGGAGGTAGTGAAGGGGGCGAGGACAAAGGCAAGGGGTCATCGACTGCCACTGTCGCTCCCACTGCGCCTGCCACCGGGGCAGCAGCAATGCTCGTTGCTTCTCTGGAAGCTGTGCTTCCAGTGGCTGCCACTGCAGCTGTCCTTTCATAGGCCGACAGCGAGGGTGTGGTGTGAGCTGCTGCCACTGGGTCCAGATGGCAGGCTTTCGTGGTGGCATCGCAGGCTTTCGTGGTGGCATCGCAGGCTTTCGTGGTGGCATCGCAGGCTTTCCCAGAGGGAACAGAGGATGCGAGGCGGGAGGGGTGCAGCACAGAGGCAGTGATTGCAACGTCGTACAGCGACTGTGCACCCATGCCGTTGGGCCACCAGAGATGAGGTTGCGACACGAGTAGCTGCAAGGGAAAGAGGGAGGGGGGAGGGCGAGGGAGCAAGGGAGAGAGGGCACTGTATCCAAGATTGCATGGTGGGGCGGGTGCAGCACAGTGACGGTGATTTGGACGTCGTACATCAACGTGTAGAAAGTAAATATTTGAGACGTCTCAAAAATCTACTTTCTACACGTGACGTCGTACAGCAACTGTGCGCCATGCCGTTGGGCCCTCACAGATGGGGACGGGTAACCAGTAGCTGCAGAGAGGGGGGAGGGTTGGAGGACGAGGCGGTGGTGGACACAGGAGTTGGGATTGCAGAGTCAGAGCCAAGCTATAAGTCGGAGTGGGAGTCAAATACGACTCTCAGTCATGCTACAGCATCACGTGCATGTGTGTGTGACTCGTGTGTCTTGACTTGGGATTGTGCCGGGCGGAATGGATGCGTGATGCTGCTGCTGTTGGCTGGCATAATTTTAAACGCCTCAAAAAGCACCTCAAGAATCCTCATGCGTGCTCGCTCTGTGTGTTATCTGATTCTTACCGGCTGAAATGTGTGAGTGATGCTGCTGTTAGCCGGTACCTCCACCTCCTCCTCCCTCACTCCCTCCACCATCACAAACCCCTCGCCCTCTTCCTCACCCTCCTCCTCCCACACCCCTTCCCCACCCGCCCATCCCACACCCCCATCCCTCGGCCTTCCCTCTCCTCCCTCACCCCCCCATCCCCTCGCCCCTCCCCTTCCAAGCTCCCCAGCACCGCCCCTCTGGTCAGGGCTGGGAGTGAAGGAGAGCTCGAGAGACAGGCGCGTGTGGAGGGGAATGGGGAGGGAGTTGGTGAGGGTGAGGGAGCAGTGGAGAGACGCCGAGGAGGGAGAGAAGGGAGGGGCGGGAGGCGCGGGAGTGGAGGAGGAGGAAGGAGGAGGCGCGTGTGTGTGCGTGCTGTGGAACAGAGCTGATGGATGGGTGACGCTGATGGATCCGACGCCTTTTCCACCACCAGAAGCTGCTGCAGCAGCTGATGGATGGGTGACGTCCCCTTTTGCACTGGCTCCATCTGCATGCTCCCTCTTCGCGCCATCTGCTTGCGTGTCATAGCATCGCTGGGATGCGAAGACAGCCACGAGATGAGGGTCCCGGATGGTCACGGGCTGCCATGCACGCACCATGCACAGAGGGGGGGGGAGGGGCGAAAGGCAGGCTTACGAGTTGATTCAAATGGCGGCCACCACCAGATGAAAGTCACCGATGGTTTTGAGACGTCATCACTTCACTTTTATCAAAAGACGACCACCAGCAGATGAGAGTCACCAATGGCCACCAGATGAGTGGGCTGCTATCCACACACGCATGGACAAGAGGGGGGAAAGTGGCCATTAGGTCAACTGAAAAACCGGCCACCAGGTGAGGGACACTAATGGCCACGGGCTGCCATGCCATGCATGCATGCATGCATGGTCAGGATGGGAAAGAGAGGAAAACAGCATGCCCGGCATATGTGCAAGTATCATGTTAAGGAAGGTGGAAGTTGCCTTCCGTTTCTCCCACAAGCACAAACAATCCCACGTCCACCACTCCTCACTCACCCCCGTGACACCCACATGCACTCACCCCGGTCACAGCCACATGCACTCACCCCGGTCACAGCCACATGCACTCACCCCCGTGACAGCCACATGCACTCACCCCGGTCACAGCCACGTGCACTTGATCCCACATGCCCGTGTTGCGATCCCTGCCACCGCGCACAGAGAAAGAAGGAAGCGAGCAGGCTTGTAGAAAGCAGAGCAAGCGGTGATGGCCGGAAGGAAGCGCTGAGGGGGACAATGAAGAGCATCAGGCTGGAATGCGGGAGAAGCGGGAAGGACTGGTAGCCGTGAATTAAGAAATCCACACGTGCATAATGCATCAAGCGTCGACTGGTGTATACACGAACACCAACGCGGAAGAGCGATGCGGATTCAGAAAGAGAGAAGGGTACCGGATGGGAATGATCCAATCCCAGCCCTCCACGTATTGAGCTGTGACATCCTTGGCCACCTGCATGCGTGGGGCATAGCATGGCACATAAAGCATGTCAAATGGCGTTAACAGAAAGGCAATTGGCATGCGTCACACACATACGGTCGTGCATGCACGAGGCTGTACCTGGTGGTCGCCTCCCTGCCCTCCCCCATCCACGTTCCCCGGGTGCTCCACTGCATTCACCACTACTGCCAACTGGTTCCTGCCGTTGCTGCTGCTACATTCACTGCTACATGCTATGCTGCTACAACCTTTACTGCTACAGTCCTTGCTGCATCCCTTGCTGCTGCGATGGCCCTTGCCGCTGTCCGCCCTCCTTGCCACGTCAGTGATGTCCAGCTGGCGCCGCAGGAACATGCCAGCTGGCTGGTCGATGCTGAGTTGGCGGCCGTTAAGGAAGACGGAGAGCGAGTAGTTGACGCCACGGAAGCACAGCCACACTCGCTCCCACTCATGGCTCTCACACCCACACCCAGCACACCCACTACAGTCACCCTGGCCACAGCACCCCTTATCACCAGCAACAGCAGCAGCAGCAGCACCACCACCACCACCACCATCACCAGCAGCAGCTACAGACGAGCCAGATTGCTGGCGGTTCAGCAGAGCCTGGCAACATCTGACAGCAGGAATCCTCCTGGGAGGCAGGTGGAGGCAGCGGCGGAAGAGGAAGGTGTAGAAGGGCCTGCCGGTGTGGGCGATGTCAGGGATGTGGTCGCGCGTGTTGGTGCCGAAGAGAGGGTTCGGAAAGACCCCGTTTGCCACCAGGCTTGTGAGCACGCTGTGGGGAAGAGAGTGAGAGGAAGGAGAAGGGGTTGGGCACCGGTGTGGGCGATGTCAAGGATGCAGTCGCGTGTGTTGGTGCTGTACAGGGTGTCCGGGAAGACCCCTTTCGCCACCAGGCTCGTTAGCACTCTGAGGGGAAGAGAGGGAGAGGAAGGTGGGGGAGGGGAGGGCACGGGTTGGTGATTTTTAAAGTGCGAGGGAAGGGAGGCACGAGGGAAGGTCAAAGTGGAGGGGAAGCACGGTTTGATAGTTCTCAGAATACTTTGACACCACGACGGGGAGGCAGGAGGAGGGATGAGAGTGGGAAGCACAAGAGACTCAAGAGCAAGCGAATTCAATAACAAAGGGACTCAAGAGCAGCAGAGATTTGGAAGAGGAAGGGTGTTGTGGACGGTGAATGGTGTGATGCAACGACAGGAGGCTCGAAAGGACAACATATGACACCACATGAGATTTTATTAGAATACGGTGCTACAAACGGTGTAAACGGTGCTACAGACGGTCTACAAGGACACGACATGGCCGTTTCCGGTGACACTCTTCCCGTCACGGTCCCTGCAAGCACGAAGCCTTCACCACCGGCCATCCTGGAAACGTACGTTCCTGGAACAACGGCCGGCATCCAGCCATCCTCGTTACAGTTCCACTCGTTGTCCACGCCGTCACTCTGCCCATATGTTGATGAAATTCCTTCAGTATATAACGAATTTCGGGCTCCTCTAGAATCGCTTGTTTGTGGTAACTGGGTAAGCTGTTCGCCTCTGACGCCAACCTCCGACGCTCTTTTCATCCGCCAATCAGAGTGCAACAGCTGGCACCAGGGCAGCGAACCCGAATTGTCTCCCGTGGGTGCCATGGTCGATAGCTTGGCCCAACGGAAACCGGGGATGAGGTACGATTTGCAGTTCTAGTCACAAATCCGCCATTTCCAAGTTTGGGGAATTTTGCAGCGTGGGCAGCTTCAACGGTTGAACTTGCACATATTGTGGTAGCGAAGCATGGTGGAACACAATTCGCTGAATCCTTGTTTCTGAATGACTCGATACGGTTAAACAAATGTGATAACAGTCGTAATCGCATGTGGAAATTAAGGTGTACATATTGCGGCCTTGAAATCGTCTCATCAGCCCTGCATTCAACTTCGTCAAGCAACATCTCGCACATTGGCATGACGGTTCGCGAACGTCGCAAACGCCTCGCTTGTGCCAGGCATGCCCCCTTTCCCTCCATCCCGCCCTAATTTCTCGGAGTTCCCGCCAAAACGACCCTTGGCTAGCCATTTCAGGCATTGCTGCTCTGAACTGAAATGCCCCCAAGCCTCAAACACACCACGCGACTATTCTAGACCAGAGGCATTCTCCATATTGCACTTCGCAGGAGCCAGCTTACGCATGCGCAGTGGCTGTATTGTAGTAGGTCACAGCGTAGGTGCGTGCGGAGCCGCTCGTGAGCGTCACACTGGTCCCCGTGCCTCTCTCAGCGGTTTGGTCCGAGCCGGCCCATGGAGGAGGTTCATGTTCGCGAGTTCGTGGAGGTGGCCGCTCCTACCGCCGACGAAGCCGCGGATCCCGTGATTACCGGCGCGAGCTTCGGCGCTATCGGCGCCGCAATAACCGGCGCGGCGAAGAAGAACGAGCCTAAGAAAGGCCTGCTTCCTTTGCTGATTCCAGTCGCCGTCGTAGCCGCCGGGGTGTTCGCCATTGTCAGTGTTATCAAGGGTAGCAAGAAGAAGAGCAAAGGCGACGCCACTGATGGCACCACGTATAAGGCCTCGCCGCTTGTCGCGGCGACCGAGGAAACTGTCACTGTTACTGGTGCTGACGCGGTGAAATCCGTCGTTGCTGCCGCTGACCGTTTCGTCCCCGCGTCGCCCGGATCCGACGCGTTTCACGACGCCACGTGGGAGCTGACGGCGGACGACGACGACGACGCGCCGAGCGGGATTTCCGGCGCGAAACCCGGCGAGGGCGCCATGGTGGCGCGAATCCTGGGGAACTCCGCGGCGAGCGCGGAGGTGGCGGAAGACGCGGAGGAGGGGAAGGCGGAGGAGGCGGAGGAGGGGGAGAAGGCGGAGGAGGGGGAGAATGGGGAAGGGGAGAAGGAAGATGAAGAGGAAGAGGAAGAGGAAGAGGAGGAGGAAGAGGATGGAGAAGCAATGGTTTCGTCGCTGCTGCAAAAGGCACGTGACGCGAGCTCCAATGTGAACGACATGGCCGCCAGAAGCCTCACCTGATCCGCTGCTGACTCTTGAGCCCCCCTGCCTGGAAAGTACCTAGCTCTGAAAGCAACATCAGGGCCAGGAGTTTAGGCTGGAGGGCTGACATTTCGTTTCTTTGTTACCCCCTCCCTCCTCTCTCACCTCTTGCACGTTGTCCAGCACCCATCCATCCATCACTACTCGCCTCGCCTCTCCCTTGTCCTCAGCCAGCCACCATGTGTCATCTCATCAGTCTCCCCTATCCTCTCTCCAACTTCTTTGCAACAACATGCAACATGCATTGCATTGCGCTATACACTTTTTACTGTTTAGTTCAGGTGTGTATATGCATCCATGATTCCATGGTTTGGTTTTCCTAGTAGTGTAATTATCTATTATCTTCAAAGCTGCAAATCCTGGCAACTGACCGCTCTTATACACTGAGGAGTGGCATCGAGTAGCGATAAAACACATCTCACTTCGCTGCCGACAAGTGTGCCAACATGCACTGCATCTGGTCTGGTCACGGATCACGTGTGCATCGCAACACAAGCCACCAACACCAAACACCAACACCAAGTCATGCACATTACGACGAGTCACGGGTGAGCAGCAGGCGGCCCGAGAAGAGTCTGCGGCTCAAGCGGAGGCCAGTGCAGGAGGCACCTGTATGAACGCCTCCCACTCCCACACCCCCTCCACCACCAGGGGAACGGCAGCTATCAGCATCACTCTCAGCGTCGCTGCAAACACCCATAGCGTCACTAGAAGCTGCTGCAGGACAGGAGGCCGCAGCAGCACAAGAGGCAGCAGAGGCTGCTGTTGCTGTTTGCTCCACAGCCTGTTCTTCCATTCCTGTCCTTGCCTCCACGTTTGCCCTCACCCAAACCCCCACCTCTCCTGCCCCTGCCCCTGCCCCTGAAGCTGCCCCTGCGCCTACCCCTGGTCCTGCTCCTGTGCTATCAGAAAAGGAGCGCTCAAACGTAGCGGCACTGTGTGCAGCGACTGCTTGCACTGACCGCACCCTTGGCCCCTCCTCCTCCACCACCATGCTACCAGGCAGCTCCTGCCATGCGCCCAAGCTGCCACTCCTCCTGTGCCGCACTCGGCGCCACCGCTCCCTCCACCCCTCTCCCTGCTGCTCCTGCTGCCCCTGTTCTCCTGCCTGCTGTTGCTGCTCCTGTTCTACTGCCTGCTCCTCTTGTTCCTTCTCCTGCTGCCGCCGCTGCTCACCTACCTGTTGCGGGGACAGCGGTTGTGGCTGCTGTGGCTGCAGCTGATTAAGCGGGATTCTCACACCTCTCGCTCCTTCTGCACGCACGGAAGCACAACCAGCGCTGTCACGCCCGCTGGTACTCAAACGACATCCCTCTCTGTTTGGTTGCTTCATTGGGGGCTGCTGAGACTGCAGCAGATCAGTCCGAGGTTGTAGCGGGCCAGACCGAGGCTCCAACAGACGAGTCCAAGGCTGTAGCGGACCGAGTTGCGGCTCTAACAGCCCGTGCCGAGGCTGTAGCGGTCCGGACCGGGGCTGTAGCGGACCTGATACGACCATGCGCGCCTGTAGAGGACCCTTGAGGCGAGCGTGAGACCGGTGAGGCATCTGTACCTCCCCACCCCATCCCAATGGCGACCCACCATGGCTGTAGGAGTCTCCACTCCGGGTGTTGCTCCTTTGAGTCGACTCAAAGGTGTCTCCTTCCCATCGCAGTGGCGACCCGCCATGGCTGTGCGAGGCCCCACCACTCACGGTGCTGCTCTGTTGAGTCAACGCAAAAGGCCCCCCTTCCAATTGCAATGGGGACCTGTTATGGCAGTGCGAGCCCCCACTCACTGTGTTGCTCTTGAACATTCGAGGAGGGGCTCTCTCTGTGGCGTGGGACGTGGAGTGACGCGAATTAGAGGGAGAATTTATCTGTTGAAATTGCCCGGGTAGTGCACCTGCAGCCGTAGCAGCAGCAGGAGGAGGAGAAGTAGCAGCGCGAGCAGAGGGAGCAGGTGGGGCAGTGTGGGCAGCAGCATCGCGCAGGCCTGCCAGGTATCCCATCGCAAAGGCCTCTCGCACCCTCTCCTCCATCACTTGCTGCCAGCTGTCAGGTGAATCCCCAGGCGCGTTCCCTGGCGGTGCCTTGAGCCGACCTCTTACCCGCTCGAATGCAACTTCGCCAGATTGACCCTGCCCCGGCCACCCCTGGTCACGTGTAACCAGCAGTGCAGGTCGGACCTGGCAAGGGGGTTGGTCCTCGTGCAAGGGATGAAGGAGGCGGAGGGGTGATTCAGAGAGCGATGCAGAGGCAGCTGAGTCGTCACTGGCACTCTCCTGTGGTTGACTAGGCCGACAGGGCGTGAAGTGAGGATTCAAGCGAGAGCCTAGTGGATTGAACAGCCGTGCTTCTTGCTGCACACCAAGGCTCTCCCTACCTCTGCTTGACTGCGTGCCTGCGATTCGCTCTCCTTCCCCTCCCTCGTAGCCAAGGCCTGATGGTGTGTATGTGGGCTGCTGGCCTGTAAACGAGTCGGAGGGATGCTCCCCTGTTAACGCGTATGTGGGCTGCAGCACCCCTGAGAAGCACCGACGGTGGCGAGTTGCTCGGGAAAATGAAGGTGGCTCGGGAGTTAGTGATGGGAAGGAGAAGGCTGGTGGAGGGGAGGCGGGTAGAGAAGCGGGTGGTGGTGGCGGAGGGGACAGGGACTTGACTGCTGATTGAAACTCCTCTGCTCTTGAGCGAGTTGGACTGTGCCACGTTGCAAAAAGGCTCAGCATGCCCCTCCGCTGCTGCTGACTCCGCGCCCGAGGCATCTCTGCTTCCTGCCACACAGACCTCTCACTCTTGTTTCTATTCTCCACGCCCCCCTGCCACAACTGCTGCTGCTGCTGCTGCTCCTGCATGCCCGCACCCTCCCACTGCGCGCCACTGCTGCTGCCTGCCAGCAGGCCAGCAGGTAAGCTGTCTCGCGTTAACCAATGGTCTGCTGTCCCTCCGTCCCTTTCTGCCCTTTCCGTCCTTTCTGCCCTCTCCCGCTCGGTCCGTTCGGACCTCTCTGTCCGTTCAACGAAGCTGTAGTCTGTAGGGCACGATTGCTGCCGCCGGTGCGACTTCCTTGCATGCTTTACCTCCTCCACTTCTCCTCCTCTCCGCTCAGACCCCACCGCAGCACGTGTCTCCGCGTGCCCGCCGCGCTGCCAGCCTAGCCCGTGCAAGTCAACCTCGTTTCCTCCGCCCGTCTGCTGACTGTCAATGCGCTGGGGAAGAATCTCAATCTCCACCTCGTGATCTGGACCATTCGATCTCTCCACCTCCCTGCTGCGCTGCCAGCCGAGACCGTAAATGACGACGCCGTCCTCGTCCTTCCCTCGTCGCCTCCTGCTTCCTTGAACGCCGTGAGGGTCGCTCTCGGTGTTGGCTTCAGGAATATGTGTGAGATCGATGGATGTGATCCGACGGTTCTCCTCCTCCATCCGCTCGCACTGTGCCTTCAGCTCTGCCGTGAGACACGCGGAAAAGGAAGATAAAACGAGAGGAAGAACCAGATCGAACTGTGCGAGTTAATTTCTTTGTCAAACGCAGCAAGCTACTTGATGCAACTTGCATTATACAAGTAGCTTGGCAATCCATGTAATGCACGTCACTTTGCGCAATAAAACCATAGCGACGCCATGGCGGATGCAAGAAAGAAAGAAGAAAAAATCGCCTTCTTGCTGTGCAGACAAGATACAGAAACATCGTAAGCACGCACCTGCCCAGCCTGGCGACGGAGGCTCTTTATAAATCTCCGAATCACCGTCCACCTTCAGTGCACGACCAGCCTTCTTGCTGCTTTTAGCGGGGACAAACAAGAGCTCCTGATTGGGCGGCGCATCGAGCGTCAGCTCGTACAGCCTGCTGGTTAATACGCCCGAGCTTGAGGGTTGAGGGGAATCGAAACGCCGTCCTGACCACGAGAAAGGAGAGGACTCGAACGGTAGTCCCGACCACGACCGTTGGTGCCGGCTCCTTCTCGCAGCGCTCCGCGCGGGACTTCCGGTGGGGCTCGCTTCCTCTACTCCCGTTGGTACTCGCCGCATTGGACCGGAGAACGCGCTCGCTGCTTCACTACTTCGTGATTCGGCCATTTTGCAGGCATGCACAAGAAGCGACCAACTTTTACAAACAGGCTTCTCTGAACATCCTTCTCACCACTTATTGGCTCACTCCTGTAATTCGTTCTTGTCCGTGATTCCTAGACAATCAACGATGGCCGAGCTGAAACTCTTCAACAAGAGGCCTGCGACATGCTGATTCTCTCATACCAGTATCTCTACCCCATTACAGCTGGGAAAGGCACGAGATGATATGAAATCAAAGCATTGGGATTTCGGAGGCAGGGAAATAGCTGTTCGGTACGGAAATGTGTCGAAAGCTCTTGTCACACCGCACCAGAACCAAGAAAACCGAGGCAACGAATTGCCGTACCATTTGGCAATGTGTTTTACCGTACTGGTTCCTGAAAGCACATCCATTCAGCAAATCACAGCCAGGCTGGGTTCAGTTGGGGGGGCCGATGGTGGGTGAAGTTGGTGAAGCAAGCTGCCCACTGGCGAGCCGCGGATACAACAGTGTGACGAGATTGTGACTTGCGTGCATGAACCTCACTTTCATTTGATTCATTACGGTAAGAATTGAGCCAACCAAAGACTCTACTAATGTATACAGCTATTGTTCAAACACCACATCAAGATTTATCTCCTCACTCCTCCCGACCTCTTGCACATTAGGGCCAGCAAAACATGTATAATTTTTTGTAGTTGGAGTTCAGGAGTTGAAAAAAAAAGTCACGATTGAGGTGCACTGGACTGGTCTGACTGTACAGGTGTTATGTTAGTCACAACGTTAGACATGTCAGACAGCTACAGGTCAATGAAAGTGACTACGGAGGACACTGAGTCGTCCTCCGCACAACTAGACCTAAGGTCAGCGAGTCGTTGGAGGTGCTCTGTCTGGGATGTGGTTTCAACAGTCTCATCCTCGTCCCCTGAATCATCCAAGTGAAACACCTCTGGACCCTCAATAATGCGAATGGAATCTAGACCAGGAAATTCCTGATGAATGATTTGAAGGTCAAGTAGGTCACAGTTAGTGTGTGCCAGCTCCAGCTCTCGAAAATCTGTAGATTTGAAAGGTCTGCTGTCCTGGTAGTCGCTGAATACCCGTAACGAGTCTGGCCGCTTACTAGCTCCAAGGCTAATGTGGCTGAGGCGCGCAGTTTTGAGGCCGCTGCATGCCTTCAGAAGAATAACCCCTGGAGAGCATATGACCATCAATCAACATTTAGAACGCCGTCATAAAAAACATGAAAAAATAAAAACATATTTGTGAAGTGCATGACAGAATCGCTTACCATCTAGAGTGATAGCCTCCCCTGTAAGTTCCAAGTGTTGAAGGCAGACCCAACCAGCGACCATAGCAGCAATACATTTATTATCGAGGCCACCGCAGTCTCCTGACGGCGACCATAGACGAAATACTTCTATTTGAGGGCATTTTTGAATAAAATCGAATATCCATCGAGGTATGTCACTCTTCAGCCCAGACTTCCCTGCGTTATAATAAATCTCGCAGACCTCCAAACACCTGCATCAAAAGGGATATTAAGGTTTAATAGTTCCAGATCAATATCATAAGACAGAAAGCCTTAACTGACGCACCTGCAATGCTTCGTGACCCTAGCCATGAGTTCGGTGTAAAAGGGAGCAGTCCTGTAGTCCTTCTTGTAGATGTTGCAACCAGTGGATACTACAAGTTTCCTCATACTGAAGCTTGCCGATTTCAGCACCTCCTCTACGCCATCCATCCAGGCCGAGCTGAAACGAACCGAAAATGAGAATTTTGAGGACGTGAACTTCTTCGAGATGTACATTCAATAAGCGTAAACTGGCTGCTCCGACTTTTGCCTCTTGTCTTTGCTTCTCACCAATACGGCACAGAAAGGCCTCTGGGGTGAATCGGATCACGCGAAACATGAAGCTCGGACAGATTTCCACAATGTTTGGAAATTAAGAGTAACACGGGCCTCGAGTATTCCGGAACTTTGAGCTCTATGCTCTTCCAGAGCTCATGGGATGCCACCGCCTCCTTCCAATCCCTGCCTAATATCGACAATCGGCACAACTCTACTGGACTCAATCTGCTCTTCGATAGTACTCGGCTGATAAGCTCTGGTCCTAGGTCATCCATCCAACCCATGCCTCCCTAACGTGAAGCTAAACGGGACAACCATCTACACAGCGATTGGGCTATATCGTGCCAAATAACACACATAGCTGGCGCCACCAAAACCATGACCACGCCGTCGACACGAGTGAGAACTACTGACGAGCCGACAAGGTGGCCAGGTCAAGGTGTGCAAGGGTGGTACAGGAAATTATGCTTGCAGAAGTCGGACGAATGGGTGGGAAGGGAAGGAGGGTGTCTAGAAGTGAAGGTCGTGTGGTAGGTTTGGGTGCCAGGCACGGGAAATGCAGAGGCAACGGAACGTACACTGATTTCCAGACCTTGCCTCACCCATTTGCAGCTTCATCAGACACTAGGAGGAGGTCTCATCTGGTCCTTACGCATCTTCCCTTTTCCATAGGTCCAGTTATTTTCGCCTATCCCAAAACACTGTTCCGTTGCTTTTGTCTACGCTTTGTGACAAGATGAGACACACTCGACCTGTCTCGTGCACATCCAAACCCTACTTCACGTAAGATGCCCTCCAGTAAATACCATTGTCAGCCACTCACGCTAATAAGCGGTGTCAGGTGTAAGACGAAATTCCAGCGGTATGGTTGGCTTGCGGGGAGGGCTGTTTTTGAGAATTCAAAATTGAACGCCAAGCGTGTAACATTGGCAAACCATATAATGGAATGGATATGGAAAGGGGATTTTATATCATTTAAGATGCTTGGGTTCTAACATTGTTTGAAACTTGATAACTTGATTCAGTTAGAGTGAGGACCTTGGATAGGATAGGAATGCCTTAGAAGAGTTTGGTAGCGGAAGACTTGTTGTAAGAACTCAGATCATAGTGAATATAGATGACCAAGTTGATTAAACAAAAGATTATACACATAGTAAATAGTTCTAGCTAGCCATGTACTTTGAGGGGTACATTCCCTTATTCTAACTGCTTTACATGCATTTCTACAGTGACTCTGACTATTGCACTTCTTTCTTGTTACCGAGTCGCTGCATGTAACCGGTACGTACGGTTACGCCTGTTGTCATTCCTCGAAGGTAAGTCAATCGTCGGTCCATATGGTCATCTCAGAATAGGAATGCAACGGAATGATGAAACTAGGAAGTGTGGAAGTACAAATATGCAACCCTAACAACTGTACTCCCTATTGTGCTACTCACTGCAGCCTACAAGCATAGAATTACATTTGACACACCCCCATAGGCTAAGTGAGGGGCATCAAAGCAAGCAAGGTGAACAAACGGTCACAAGACCAGTCAAAGCAAGAAACAAGGCAAGCTCTGGGTGGATCTCAAGGACACCACACAAATTCCGAGCGCAAGCAAACGGCCACAAGGCCAGTTCAAGAGTTCACTAGGATATAAATAGGAAGCACAACAAGCAGAGCAAACAACAAGACTACAGCAACCGAGGGCCTACCTCAACAAGCCCCAACAGCACACTGAACCTGTGGTGATCACCAAGCGCCAAGGCCTTGGTGAAGACGTCTGCAGTGTTGGCCTCTGAGGCCACAAAGTCCAGGCGTGCCTGGCCGCGTCGCTGCAGCTCTCGCAGGAGGAAGTACCTCACGTCAATATGCTTCACTCTGCTCTCCAGTCGAGGCTCTCGACACAGGAGGATCATGGCCTTGTTGTCAGCGTACAAGGTCGGTGCAGAGCGAGGCCGCTCACCAAGGTCGGCGAGCAAGAAGGTCAACCAGCGAAGCTCCTGTGCCGCCATGGCACCAGCGTAGATCTCTGCCTCTGCACTGGAAGTAGCCACAGACGACGACCGTGTAGACCTCCACGACACAGCACCAGCTCCCAGACTGAAGCAGTAACCCTGAGTCGAGCGCTGAGTCTCCACGTCGTCAGCGTAGGAAGAGTCGCAGTGACCAGTCAACGCCACTGGCTGAGTCCCTCCAAGCACAAGCCCCATGCCTGATGTAGTCGCCAGGTACTTCGCCACCCTCACAGCAGCTGTCCAGTGGACATGGCGGTGTCTCCCAGTCGCAACAAAGCGAGAAAGGATGCTGAGGGGAAAGGCGAGGTCCGGTCGAGTACAAGTCATCAGGTACATGAGGCAGCCCACCAGCTCTGCGTAGGGTCCACTGGACTCGAAGGGCTCGTCAGGAAAGGGGCCCGTGAGTCTGTGGTCAACAGCAAGAGGAGTGGGCTGTGTGGTGGAGAACTGGAAGTCGAACCGCCGAAGGACCTGCTGCACCATGTGTGATTGCGTCAGTGTGATGGTGCGAGCGGCTCTGTCCCGGGTGATCTGCAGGCCAAGGTAGCGCTGCAGCTCACCCAGGTCAGTGCACTTGTGTCTCTTCTGCAGTTCGGACTTCACCTGAGCCAGGGCTGCCCTGTCAGCTGTAGCAAACACCAAGTCGTCGACGTAGACAAGGATAAAGAAAGGAGTAGAACCCGCTCGAACAAACAGCGACGGGTCGGCGGAGGACGGGCTGAACCCAAGGTCACGAAGCGTGGAGCGAAGAGTGTCGTGCCACTCACGGGGCGACTGGCGGAGACCGTAGACTGGTCGCCTCAGGCTCCACTGGATCCCAGGTGGGAAGGTGTCAGTGAAGCCAGGAGGACGGCACAGCCAGATCTCCTCGTGCAGTCGGCCTGGAGGAACGCAGTGGAGAAGTCGAGGGAGTGCAGCTCGTAGTCTCGCTGCGCTGCTATGTGGAGTAACACCCGAAGAGTAGTCATCTTCGGGGTCGGGGCGAAGGTCTGGAAGAAGTCAACTCCCTCACGCTGACTGAAGCCCCTAGCCACGTAGCGCGCCTTGAACACCGGCGGTGCTCCAGGCGGCCGCTTCACCTTGAAGAGCCACATGCCATCGACTACGTTCGCCCTGGGAGGGGGAACTGCGTCGACGTAGGTGCCTGTGGATCTCCAAGACGCCAACTCTGAGTCCATAGCCGCTTTCCACTGAGAGGCCCACGCCCCTGACACTGCCTCGCGGTAAGTGCGAGGAGTCGGTATGTCAAGGGCGTCGGGGTCTCCCTCAGGGGAGAGCAGCATGGCACACTCAGAGGGAGAAGCGGCTGCCCAGTACTCCAGCTCAGACTCTCTGTCCTCTAGGACGTCACAGCCAAGGGCAAACCCACCCCCGACGGACAGAGGACGGTAGGGAGGAGCTGGCACCACCCGGGTGGGGTAGTCAAGGCGGCTGGCGGTAGCAAACTCAGCGACAGCGGCAGTAAGAGCAGAGGCAGACGACGGAGGGAAACGAGAGTCAGTGACAAGAGTGGCGAGGACACGTGCGGCAACAGGACGAACGGTGCGGTAGTAGTCAGTTATAGGAGTGGGGAGGGCTGGGAGAGAGGACGGAGGAGGAGACGGGAGAACGGACACAGGAGAAGGAGAACGACGACGGGACGAACAAAGGAGGGCAGTATGGAGGTCAGTAACAGGGGACGAGTGACGAGCACGCGGAGGACAACGAGTGATCAAGTCGTGACGGACAGAGTCAGGAGGAGACCGAGGAGGAGGAGAAAACCAGACCGCCGGACGGCCGTTAGGAGGAGGCAACGGAGGAACAAACACAGGAGGAGACTGGGAGCGGACAGGAGGAGAGGAGGAAAGGCCAAGGGCCCGCAGGCCACTCACAGGTGGGAACAACTGCCGCTCCAGAGGAAGCTGCGGTGGCGGCTGCGGCTGCTGCTGCTGCGGCTGCGGCTGCGGCTGCTGCTGTTGCGGCTGCGGCTGCTGCTGCTGCTGTTGCTGCTGCTGCTGCTGCTGCTGCTGCTGCTGCTGCTGCTGCTGCTGTCGCTGCTGCTCCAGAAGGTCCAGCACCCGCAGCTCCTGCCGCTCCCTCTCCAACCGCTCCTGCTCCTCACGCTCACGCCGACGGGCAGCCTGGAGACGCGTGTCGTGGCGGTGGGGAGGCGGAGTGGACTCCGCAGAACCAGGGTCTCCAGTGTCAGTCTCCTCAGACTCAGCACCCCCAGAACCAGCACCTCCAGTGCCAGGACCTCCAACTCCAGCACCCCCAGAACTAGCACCGCCAGTGCCAGCACCGCCAACTCCAGCACCCCCAGAACTAGCACCTCCAGTGCCAGCACCTCCAGCTCCAGCACCCCCAGAGCCAGCGCCACCTGCGCCAGCACCTCCAGCTCCAGCACCCCGCGACCGAGCACCCCCCAGACCGAGCACCGCCAGCGGCTGCACCTCCAGCTCCAACACCAACCGAGTCCACAGTAACCTGTCGCGGAAGTGCCCAAGGCTGCTGAGGGGACTGCGAGGAGGACTGCGGGGAGGGAGACGCTACCTGACGCGCGACCGAGGGTAGAGGGGTAACGTGGGACACACCAGACGGGGCACGACCAGGGGGGGGCGGGGGTACCGGAGGAGCAGGAGCAGGAGGAGGAGAGGGTGCTAGGAACAGGGGGGGAGGGGGTACCGGGATACCTCGACAGGGGTACCGGGTGTAGTAGGACACAGACTCGTCAAACCGGACGTCACGGGAGTCTAGGAACTGGTGGAGGGGCGGGTGGTAAAAGGACCAGT